TTAATTAGTTAATTACTTCCTAATTAATTTATTTATAGATTGACATTGATTATCCATCGAAGTTTCAGTGCAATCCTACAATAGGAACCAATTTTTCAGATTTCGTAAACATAACAGCACAATTAACACAATCAGGTTTTAGTAATAAGATTTTAACGATTACAGCAGGCCAATATCCTCCTGCAAATATGAACTTCGAAAACATTAATTTTGTAAATATTCAGGTAAGATTTAACTTTTTTTTCTTTACATAACAAGCTATAAATATTCATTTATTTATAAAATTTTAGGCATTTCGTCTTAATGTAGATACTTCGTATGCAAGTGCTGGAATAGACCAAATTAAGACAATCCGGGCCTCTTGGAATTCTGCCGGTTTAGAAGATCAAAAGTTAGTTTTAGGCGTTGAATTTGGTGGCATTGCCGAAGTTGTTACTTCCGATAATATTAGGGCAGATATTGTGAATCAACAACTTCACGTAACAAATGGCGCAAAATTCACTTTTAATTCTGAACCGATTCCAGATCAATGTAAAAATGCAACATATGGATATTTGACATGGACAAATTTAAATTTAAGTAGCTCATCATGTACTACAAATCTAATTCCATCGTCACCATGGCTCTATGACTTTTTAAATAATTCGAAACTGCCATACCTTTACCAACAATATTCTTCAAAATTCTACTTTGTCGTTTTTTATGAAAATTATCAATCGTTAAATGCCAAAATCGACTTTGTAAATAGTAATAATCTAGCAGGAATTGCTATTGCCGATATCACCAAAGATTCGAATGATTTACAATTGACAAACTTCATTTTAGGAACTCCACCACAACCTACTCTGTATAATGGAACAATTTCAAACAATACCTCACCGTCTGCACCTACATCATCTACGCCTAGGTCATCGTCCAATAATACAGGTGCAATAGTGGGTGGTGTGATAGGTTCCATTGCTTTTGTTGCCATAGTAGCGGTAGCTGGCTTTATGCTATATAAAAAAAGAAGATACAATGTAAGAGGTACAGGAGGTACTACAAAAGCTGTAGGAACTGTAGAGGCGATGTTTGATTATGTAGGAAAAGAAGCAAGTGATTTGAGTTTTAGAGCAGGGGATAAGATTGAAGTACTTGAGAGAGGAGATGGTCCTAATGATTGGTGGGTGGGTAGATTATATGATCGTGTAGGTGAATTTCCTGGTGAGTAGGGTTATCTATTTAATTTTTCTTTATACTTATTAAGAAAGTGTCATTTATCACTTGATTTCCTACAAGCAATATACTTAGTTCGAAGTCAAATGAATATAAAATCAAGTGATATAAATGACTCTTTAAATCGGTTTCATTTTCATTAACGAAATTAATTGGATTTTTTTTAGGTAACTACGTAAAGGAAATCAATATGTAATTTTTTATTAATGCAAAAAGCTTTTTGAAATAGAAATATTCATGTATTTTTAAATGCTATATGGTGCCTAGCATGATAATATTCATTGCGATGTCAAGAATTTGGATGAATTTAATTTAAAATACATTTGGCGCCTATGAGCGATATGTATATTATAATTTATAGTAATTTTACTGTTGTCTACATTTTTATTTCCATAATTTATAATTGCCTGGGCAATAACGTATGTAATAAATTTTTTTACTGCTGTAACACCGATATTATTTCCTACAATGCGTGTATTTATCACGATCTAATTTATTAAATTTATGCTCTGAATAACATCAAATGAAGAGTTACATCGTTTCGAATTTCGATAACATACTGTACTGTACAAACAAAATGATTTATTACACTGTTAAAGCATTTATGGTATGGTTTCTCCGAATGAACATCTAAAGCCGGGAACAGCCATATCTAGAGAAATGAACTAGATAAAATTGCTCACTGTCATTTTTTATTGGTGCTCTTAATAGGTCATTTCTTGTATTTCAGTATTTTCGCGTTTTTCACTTTCTTGTTTCGATGATTGAACCGTAAATATCCACAATTTGATTAGCCAGTCAACATATAACCGCACCTGATTCTCAACAATACATTGATAAAATCTTGTTACAATATTTTAATTTTCAATTTTGGCATATAAAAATGAATCGTGAAACGACCCCCCACAGCAAAAGGGGGCAGTGGGACAAAAATATTGATTTTGTAATTTTATAAAAATTGTATTCCTATTAATCTAGCTCCTCAAGAAATCAACAAAAAAAAAGAAATCTTTTACAGAACATCTCTAAAATTCCTGACCTCCAATCAATTATACCTAAAGCAAAATTATGTGAGCATCTTTTATTTAATGATGGGCTATGTATTGTTCTTTGAGAATATTGTCGCTGAAATCAGAATCCCTATTTAAAAATGTGAACCCTGCTAAATCCACATCTGTTATATTCTTATTATAAACTCTAACCTAAATCCTAACCTAATTATTAAAAGTCTAAAAAAATGCAGCCCAAAAAAAAAAATTTCATCAGTCGACAAATGGGAGGAAAATCACCCTTCGGGATTTTCCGATAGGGCTAATTCGGAAAAATTTAGACCAGAATGTCGGTTCTTATTCATATGTAAAACATATAATAATCCAGCTACAGAACGTTCAATAAAGTACACTATCTATGATAGTAAAGATCAAATTATCTTTTTACTTTACTGATTCGACAGTTTATTAATAAACTATCGAATAAATAACAAAAGGTGATTTACATATGAATAAGAACTAGCATTCTGGTCCAAGCTTTTCCTAATTAGCCCGATCGGAAAACCCCGAAGGGTGATTTTCCTAGCAAAGATCCCAAATATGTTCTCTATTTGAAAACAATAAATAAACTTTTTTGATATCAAAAAAGAAAAATATTATACACCATAAAACAAAAAAGCAACGGGGTTAGTGTTAAGTTAAGGCTCGAGTAAGGCAATAGTTAAAAGGTTTTCTAACTCAAATTCGCAAGGAATTTAAGAGTACAGCAGTTTCATCAGCAAGTTTCATCATCAGCAAATTCTTAATTGTTTTAAAAAAAAAAGGCTGACACTTCAATATTATATATATGTTGTGCCCCAAATGAAAATCGGCCCAGTTGTCAATTGGGCTAGCCCAGATAACAATTTGAATTTGG